CCTGTACTGGGTCCCTCCGGCGGCACCCGGGGGCACCCCGGGGGCCCCCCGGGGCCCCCGGGGGGCCCCCGGGGACCCCCTGGTCTTAGTTGGATTAGAGAAGAAGCAGAGAAGTGAAGGAAATAAAATAAAATGAAGAAAAGGAAAAAATGAATCCGAAGCAGCCGCGCGTCGATACACCTCATGGGGTGTTGCTGCGGTTTCGGGTGTGTGTACAGCTCAAAGACCCCCAAAAATTCCGTTTAAAGGACAGAAATATAAAATTAAAGTCTAACTAGACAGTCTAAAGATAAAGACAATCAAAAATGGACCCTTTCGGGTCCTTGGGGGACCCCGAGGTCCCTTGGGGCCCCCTGGGGGTCCCGGGGGGCCCCCAGGGGCCCCCCGGGGCCCCCGGGGTGTATAGGGAGTGTGTGGAGTTTGGTGTGTCTGATTTCGGATTAATTTGATTTGTTTTTATAAATTAGAAAAAGAGAAAAAGAAATGAATGAAAAAATTGCAAATTCGTTTTAATTGGCGGTCGAGGAGGTGCAGGATTCGAAGAGGTGTGAGGTGTACAGACACCTGAATTGCACGGCGAGTTGAAACGCCATTTTGTTTTATTTCATTTTATTTCCTTTTTCTTCTTTTTCTTCTATTTGATGCATTTGTCCTCAAGAAAGAAGCCACGCAGAGACAGCAGCGGAAACCCCCATTTAGGGTTTAGGGTTTAGGGTTTAGGGTTTAGGGCTTAGGGTTTCGAGCTAACAAGGCTGCGACAGCGAGAGTGAAAGGAAAAGGCAAATAAGTGAAAAGATAAAAACAAAATAAAACAAAGACAATAAATATAAATTGTTTTATTATTTATTATTTATTTATTTGTTTATTTATTTATTTATTTTTAATTTATTTTTATTAGACCCCATGAGGGCCTCTTTTGCCTCTCTCCTCTTTCGTTCGCCTCCAACAAAAAAAATAAGTAAATTTCTTTCTGCAAATAAATTTAATTCCATTAGCAGCAACTTCTTTTCCCCCTCAGCAGCAGCAGCAGCAGCAACAGCTGCAGCAGCAGCGGCAGGGGTTGCTCCCCTTAGCAGCAGCAGCAGCAGCAGCAGCAGGGTTCGATTCGCGCATTTGGGGTGTATATACACCCCGCAGCAGCAGCTGCTGCTGCTGCAGGAGCAGCTGCTGCAGCAGCAGCTGCTGCAGCAGCAGCAGCAGCAGCAAATTCGGCATTCAAGTTTTGGGGCTGTTTACGGGGGCCCAAGAGATTCCTTTTTTAATTCAAGACATTCAACTACCATTCTATGCGTCAGGAAAGGAGACCAAGTCGTAAACCCTAAACCCTAAACCCTAAACCCTAGTTTGAAGAGGTCTGCGGACGAGCGGCAGGCTGCTGCTGCTGCTGCTGCTGATTCGGTGCTCCTACTAGTCCTGCTGCTACTGCTACAGCTGCTGCTGCTGCTGCCTTTGCTGCTGCTGCTGCTGCTGCCTTTGCTGCTGCTGCTGCTGCTGCCTTTGCTGCTGCTGCTGCCTTTGCTGCTGCTACTGCTGCTGCTCATTTGCTGCTGCTGCTGCTGCTGCTGCTGTTGCTGCGAAGTGTTTAGCAGGGGACGGGCAAGTGTCTCAAGGCAGTTTGGTGAGGGCTCGAGGGAATTAATTTAATTTAATTAATTTAATTTAATTTAATTAATTTAATTTAGTTTAATTTAGTTAATTAATTTAATTTGATCTGTTTTAATTAATTTAATTTAATTAATTTGGTTTGTTAAATAATCAAATGTTTTGTTTTTTGATTCATGTTTTTAATTTCATTTTTTATTTCACTTTTGTTTTGATTTATTTCTTTTATTTCTTTTTTTGAAATTTAACTAATTCATTATTTAATTTAGTTTTCATTTTTTAACAATCACTATTTATTTATTTATTTATTATTATTTATTTGCGTACTATCATTTATTTATTTATTTATTTCATTTGGTGTCTGGCCCATTTACTTCCCTTTGATGAAACAAATAAATAAATAAGTAAATAAAAGTGAATAAATAAATAAATAAATAAATGAAAATAAAAATAAATAAATAAATAAATAAATAACATTTGTTTATTATTTAAACTTGTTTGAACTCTTACTCATCTTCCTTTTAATTTCATCTCTGAATCGAGTCGATTGCTCCAAACAAATCATCGAAATCAAGGGTTTAGGGTTTAGGGCTTAGGGTTTAGGGTTTAGGGTTTAGGGTTTGTGGCAGGTGGTGAAGCCGAACGCGAAAAAGATTCGGCGATTGCCTCAAGGAATCATTTTAGGGTTTGCAGGAGCAACAGCAGATTGTTTTACTTTATTGGAGAAGCTAGAAAGCAAAATAGAGGAACACCCAGGCAAGGGTTTAGGGTTTAGGGTTTAGGGTTTAGGGTTTAGGGTTTAGGTTTTAGGGTTTGGGGCGGGGAGCCCTGGGGAGCGGGAGCCAAAGAGGCAGCTCGCCGGCCACCCCTTTCTTTCAACTTACCGAATTAATGAACGAATGAATGAATTATTTTATTTATTTACTTATTTATTTATTTATTTATTTATATTTTTATTTATTTATTTATTATTTATTTATTTATTTATTGTTTGTAGGCCAGTTGGTTCGTTCGTGCGTGGAGCTGGCGAAGCTGTGGCGGACGGAGCGGGGGCTGCGTCACCTGGAGGTGAAAAGGTGGAAAGTTGGCGGAAAAAGTCGGAAAAAAGTCGGAAAAAGTGGAAATAAGTGAATAAAAAGATGAAATAAATGAAAATGGAGCTCAATTTCGCGTTTATTTTGCGTTTTAACTCCCAAATTCCGCTTTTCGAGCAGGCCGTCCTTATCGTCGCGGACGCCGCGCTCTCTCTTGAGGTGTCTGGACACGGCGACGTCCTCGAGGCCCACGACGGCGTTTTGGCCGTCGGCAGCGGCGGCCCTTTTGCTGCAGGTATTTGTTTCTTTTTTTGTTTTTTTCGCTCCTTTTTCGCTCCTTTTTCGCTCCTTTTTCGCTCTCTTTTCTCCCCCTTCTGCAGCGCCTTTCGCTCCTCTTTCTTCTGCTTTTATTTCCCGTTTTCTCCGCTTTTTTCGACGCGTTTTCGACGCGTTTCGCCGCCTCGCGACTGCCTCTTTGCAACTCTTTTTGCAACTTTTCTGTTCTTTTTTCTTCTTTTTTGTTCTTTTTTCTTTTGTTTCTTTATTCTTCTTTTATTTCTTTTTTATTCTTTTATTTCTTTTTTATTCTTTTGTTTCTCTATTCTTCTTTATTTCTTTATTCCTTCTATTTCTTTATTCTTCGTTTATTTCTGTATTCATCCTTTTATTTCTTTATTCTTCTTCTATTTCTTTTATTTCTTTATTCTTCTTCTATTTCTTTATTCATCTTTTTATTTCTTCATTCATCTTTTTATTTCTTTATTCGTCTTTTCATCTTTTTTGTTTTTATTTTTTTAATTCTTTCTAACCGTCTTTTTAAATCCCTCTTTGCTTCTTTTTTAAATCCCTTTTTGCATCTTTTAAAATCTTTTTTGTTTCTTTTTATCTCTTTTAGGTTTTATTTTTGTTTTATTTTTATTTTCTTTCATTTTTCGTTTTATTTTTGTTTCTTTTTTATTTTCCTTTTTATTTTCGTCTCATTTGACTTCTTTCCGTCTTCTTTTTTATTTCTTTTTTATTTCATTTTAATTCTTTTTTATTCGTCTCTAATTCTTTATTTAATTCTTTTATTTAATTCTTTTATTTAATTCTTTTATTTAATTCTTTTATTTAATTCTTTCATTCAATTCTTTTAGTTGATTCCTTTTAACCTTTGAAATTAGACTCTCTAATTAATTCTTTTATTTAATTATTTCTTTATTTAATTCTTTTATTTAACTATTTTTAAACTTTTAAATTAAATCTTTTCAATTTAAATTTTATTTTTATTTTTTTTCAGCTGCTGCTCGAGCCCTTTTTGATGTCCCGAATTTGACGGCAAAACAAATCTGCGAAAAGGCCATGAAGGTCGCAGCAGGTAAACTAGCTAGCTAGCTAAATAGCTAGCTAGCTAGCTAGCTAGCTAGCTAGCTAGCTAGCTAAATGGCTAGCTAGCTAAATGGCTGGCTAGCAAATTGGCTAGCTCAACAGCTAGCTAAAGAGCTAGCAAGGGAGCTAGCTAAAGAGCTAGCTAGAGAGGTTGCCAAAGAGCTAGCTAAGCAGCTAAATAGCTGGCTAGCTAGCTGGCTAGCTCGCTAGCTAGCTAGCCATAGCTAGCTAGCGATCTACAGGTGGAGAGCGGGCTGGCTGCAGATGGTTAGAACCGGCTAGCTAGCTAGCCACCTAGCTAACTTCCCAGCTAGCTAGCTTGCTGGTTAGGTAGCTAGCTAGCTAGCTAGCTAGCTAGCTAGCTTTTGAGTTCGCTAGTGTTGTAGCTAGTCAGCCACAGATATCTCTTGAAGCTGCAGCTAGCTGTGGCTGGCTAGCTAGGCCTAACGAAGTCTAGGTAGCTAGCTAGGGCTAGCCACGAGTAGCTAGCTAGGCACAGCTAGCTAGCTAGCCAGCGACCTAGGCATACCTAGCTAGCTAGCTAGCTAGCTAGCTGGCGAGCCACAGCTAATTAGCAAGCTAGCCAAACATATGTTCCATTTGTTCATTGGATATATCGTTGCTGCTGCTGCTGCTGCTGCTGCTGCTGCTGTTCAGACATGTGCTGCTACACCAACCACAACTTCATCTACGAGACGCTCCCAAATACAGCTAACCAAGCTAGCCAGCCGAACTAGCTAGCCGTGGCTAGCTAGCCAAGCTAGCTAGCCAACACAGCTAGCCACGCTGGCTAGCCAACACAGCTAGCTAGCCACGGCTAGCTAGCCACGGCTAGCCAGCCACAACTAGCCAGCCGTGGCTAGCCACGGCTAGCTAGGCCAGCTAGCCAGCCTAGCTAGCGAGACCAGCTAGCTACGCTAGCTAGCTAGGCTAGCTAGCCATCTTAGCTAGCCAACTTGGCTGGCTAAACTAGCTAGCGAGGCCAGCTAGCCACCGCTGGTCCCAGCTAGCCACGCCAGCTAGCCACAGCTAGCTGCGAGGAGCCCTAGGGGCAGTCTCCGCAGAGCCAGACAACCGGCTAGCTAGCCACGACGAGTACCCCAGCTGCTGCTGCTGCTGCTGCTGCTGCTGCTGCTGCTGCTGCTGCTGTTTGAATAGCAGCAAATGTGCAATTTCCATTTCGCTGAATTATAAATCCTTTTAAAAAACAAAAAAGGAATGGAAAAGAACCTTTTGGTCCCCCAAGGCTTAAACGGCGAAAGATTGAAATTAATTTAATTCAATTTAATTTATTCTATTTTAAATTTTATTTCTGTTGAAATTAATTTAAATTCGAAAAATGCAGAAAGATATTTTTGCTTTTCAAGAGTTGCAAAAAACACTTCTTTTAATTTGCGTCTTATTTTGCTTTTCTGTTATTTATAGATATAAATATACAAATATATATAATTATATATATATGATTATGTATATATATAATATATATAATCTGTATATATATATAATAACATACATATATATATATTAATTAAATGTGTATACATGAATGTAATTTATTTATTTATTTATTTTTATTTTTTTCATTTCTTATAGAAATGTATGAGTGCATGCTTAGATGTATGTACAGATATAAGAAAATATGTATATATTATTTATATATATATATATACATATGGATATATATATATATATTTACCACTATATATATATACATTCATATATATCTATATTATAAGGAGGGAAATAGATAAATATATATGCAGATAATACATACGTGTATGTATATATATATTTCTGTATCCATTCATGTCATATATATATATCTATATATATACATGTTTGTGAAATGTTTGTACTTATATTTGTATTTATATTTTGCATATTTTTACAGCCTTCAGGGGAGAGCCTGCAGCCCTGTTGCCGCTGCCACGTGTTCTCTTAGCTTTAATTTTAAAAATAAAAATAAAAATAAAATTAAAATAAAAATTGAAATTAATATCTGGAGTGCCGCAGCGGCGAGCCCTCGGGTGTATGGACACCACCCTGTGTGCACTGAGCCATCGAAGAGCCAAGAGGAAAACAAAAAAATAAAAATAAGTTTGAAGGTGAATATATGAAACAAAAGATTTAATTTAGTAAATGGGATTCAATAAGACTAAAATACGCAAATAAAGCTGCTCTTCTTCTCGGGTTTCCCGTCGATGCAAGGAAAATTCAAGTTCGCCTTCCACGGCATTTCCCGGCTTCCCCGTCGCCTCCTGAAGCCAGAAAGCCCGCAAAATAATTCAAAACTACTTTTAAATCTGAATTCATTTAAATAATTAAATTTAAGTGAGCTTTAATTCCTCAAATTCGGCGATCGCGAACGCCGGAAGAGTCGTCGAGGCCAATGGACAGCCGACGCCTGCTGTCTGTCTGTACACCCCAGCCTGCATCCGTCGATGTTCCGCAAAAACTTGAATTAATCATTTATAAAAGAAATATAATAGTTTTAAGGCTTTCTGTTTGGTAAATAAACAAAATTTCCCCATTTCTTCCTTCTTTTTCGTCGCTTTTCTCCTGAACAGCCCCGGCAGCCAATCGGCGCCATGGGCAACCTCGGCTGTCTGGACACCTTTTCGGCTCTTCCACCAAATAAAAAACCAAAAAAGAACATTTTATGTTTTATTTTGGAAATATTTATCTAAATCCTCCTCAAAAGTCTTCTTAAAAGCAAATTTCTTGCACTTTCCCCCGCAGAAGCAGCAGCTGCGCTGCAGCAGGTGCTGCGCCAGCCATGAGCAGCACAGGGGAGACGCCAGCTGCTGAGGTGTCAGCAGCAGCTGCAGCAGCTGCAGCAGGCGCAGCAGGCGCAGCAGCAAAACAGCTAATGGCAGCAGATGGAGCGGATGCACACGCTGTGGCACCAGCAGCAGAAGCAGCAGCAGCAGAGGCGGAAGCCGCTGCAGCAGAAGCTGCAGCGCCAGCAACTGTGGAAGCCGCTGCAGCAGAAGCTGCAGCTACACGAGTAGCAGCAGCAGAAGCAGCAGAGGAGGCAGCAGCAGCAGAAGCAGAAGCAACAGCAGCAGAAGCAGCAGAAGCAGAAGCAGCAGCAGCAGAAGCAGCAGCAGCAAGTAGCCCGGAGCCTGCAGAGGCCCCCCAACCAGACTCTAATGCTGAAAGCCGATCCTCTCCAGCAGCAGCAGCAGCAGCAGCAGCAGGAGCAGCAGCAGCAGCAGACTCAGGCTCGCCCTTAGCAGCAGACGCAGCTCTTGAGGAGCAGCAGCAAAAGCAGCGGCCGAAACGGCAGCAGCAACCAAAACAGAAGCAGCAGCAGCAACAACAACAACAACAGCAGAAGAAGCAGCAAGAGAAGCGGCAACAGCAACAGTCGGAAGGGCAGCAGCAGCAGCAGCAGCAGCAGCAGGAGCGGCAGCAGCAGCAGCAGCAGCAGCAGCAGCAGGAAGGATCCCCATCACCTCCGAAGAGCAAAAGCAAGGCAGCTGTGCGGAGTGCTGACACTGCTGCTGCTGCTTCTGCTGCTGCTAGTGGCTCCAAAAGCCAGCAGCAATCTGACAGCAGCAGCAGCAGCAGCAGCAGCAGCACACCCAAGG